ATTTGGCACATAACACACTGAAGCCCAGAGAAGCTACTTTACCCAACACTGCACAATTATGGAGTGGTACTAGGACAGGAGTCGGCATATAGGTTCTTCATTCCATCCTCTGTGGACATACACACTTATCTACCCCTGCTGTCCTGGAAGCATGATCAAAAAAAGAATTATTCCTGTCTAGATGGACTTCACAATCTAATGAAGAGAAGACACAGACATTAAGTCTATCTGTTAATATGTATGACTAACTACACAGCTATTTGCAGTAAGAGTTATAAAAAAAAAAGCAGAGTCCTATAAGAATCCATAGCTAAGGAACCCTTACCTAGACTGAGGTTTTGGGGAAAGCCTCTCTCAAGAAGCAGCATTTATCCTGGGACCACAAGGATGAGTATGAGTACAGAGGAAGAAAAAGGGAGAACAGAGAGGAGGAGGCTATAAGAAATGTATATGTTACCTCAATCCTCACAAGAGCCCTACGGTAAACACCACCAACCCCATGTTACAGATAAAGAAAACAATGCTTGGCAAAAATCACACTGCCACCGAGTGTCAGGCCCTGTTGAGACTCCAGATCTGCCTGACCCTGGAGCCTCTGCCCAGCATCATCTCACAGGCCTGTACTCTCTCTACATCATCACGCTGCCTTAACTGCCATCTACAACTAGATATTATGCAGATTTTGGATGGGTATCACAGCATCTTCTTACCAAAACACATATGCAAGGATGCCAACTCTAACCACAAATATCCATTAAACTTAAAAAAAAAAGATTAAATTCTTGTCATTGGAAATCTGATATACTTAGAAAAATTACAGGGTTGTTTAATGAACAGGGTTGTTGTGTAAAATAGAGGTGATGTTGAAAACCAGATTCATTCCATGTTAAACCAGTTCCCTAAGCTCCTCCCCCACTGATTTATACAACCATTTTAACTATGGGAACATAAAATTCACAACAATTCATCAAGAATAAAAATCTATTTTAAGCTATCATGCACCATGCATGTTAGATACATGCGTATGTCCCTCAACCAAAAAATAAATGTGTTGTCAAAACTTTAATAGTATTATATTAACTTTAAAAATCCCCTTCTAGAGGAGAGGGTATGTAGCTCTGGTATAAGAATCAAGAGTCAAAAAGACCAAGTGGTTGCACATTAGCGAAAAGTATGTCTACAAGGAACCACATCACACTCTAGATATGCAATGTACTGTAAGTTATCACCTCCAATAGAAAATTCTACCTTGTTATGCAATTCAGAAAGTAGGATTTCAAAGCCAAAGCATAACTTTTGAAAAACATTTAGCTGGCCTACACAATGCAATACTTCCAAATCATGTCATTTTTCATATAATTAAAAAAAAAAAAAAAGAAACTAAGCTGCCTGTAGCCCCTAAGAGGAAACAAGACTTGCCTTTAATTACTTAATATAAACCTTAGATTAATTACTTTCTTCCCATGAACCCAAAATCTCATTTTCATGTAACCAACGATAAACCTTACGGCTCTAGCTTAACATTGCAAGCAAGATTTCAAAAGATTTCTTCATTTAGGGCCAAGTGAGGAGAGGTTTTAGGTAACTTAAAATAATATGATGTTTTCCAAGTAATTAAAAATTTTTAACATCCCCCTAAATGTTTAATCAAAAATTGTGCAAGCCACGGATTATGAATTACAACTTCTCTAGCCATTGAAACATTGCCCAACGGTTAAAATAATATGTGGTAAGAAGCCTTCTTAAAAACATAATCACTATGTATACATAAGGTGCTCTTAAACAAGTCAGTTATACAATACCTCTTGACAGGGCAAACTGTATTTATACCAAGTTTCAGGGGACCATGTTTGATGACTTCAGTAGTAGCTTTACTTCTAAATAGAAAACATGTAAAACTATCAAAACACTCAACAGAAAGTAGAGGCTCTTGGCTCACAGTTGAAACTACTACAAGGAATACAACAAAATGGTGAGAGTAATAAAATTTTGTGAGGGAAGAACTAAGTTCTTTATAAGGACTCTTTCTGCAAGTTTTCAGGTTGTGCTGGGTTCAGATGGTTCATTTCTTTCTTGGAGGAATGAGAGAAATTGCTGGGGGTGTGGGTGTAGGAAATGTGAAAGTTCTTTGAGGAAGAGAGAAGCTAACGCTAAAGCAGAAACAAGGACACCTTTATCACATGTGCCAAGAAAGTCACAAATGAAGCCCCTCTTCTATGCACCTTACTCTTAGTCTCATATATAAGGCAATTCCCTTCACACTCATAATAATGCTACTTCTTTCCAAATTTTCTTCCCAAAACTAGGTATTTGCCAACCATAAACACACATGAAAACACCCCAGAGTAATCTAACTAGCTAAGCTAATTCTTATTTTTTAAAAAAACAAGTTTTCAAGTAATACCCAAGACTTGATACAAATTAGCATTTTCTTTTAGTTTCAAAACAAAATGCATACCAAAGGTCACTGTATATACCTTGTGTTGTAAGTCATCCTGAATTTTGTGTTTGCAGGGCAATATTCATAGTACTATAAAAACCTATGTATGCAAATTCTTTAACTACCAGTTGCTGTACTTACCACTCCCTACCCCCCCATCTTTAAATCATAAACACAGTAACTCTCCATAACTAAAACTAACAGGACAAACATCTGACAACATTCTAGAGGTGGAAAAATTTCTAACCAAGGGTTTTCTTCACTATATACATTCCTAAACAAGACACTGCATTAAAATGGAATATTTCCATTTATTTTGAATGTTAGTTCCCCTAAAGACTGGACTGATTACTTTTTTAATTCAAGCACACAGTAATTCTAGCTCTTAAGTTTCTAGCAGGTTCCACCAAAATGTTTTTAAAATATGTTTAAGAAGCTGTCTTATACCTGTTTTTCAAACTCCTAATAACAAAGATCTCAATAGGTCATTCAGTCCACTTCCCACCCCTACCAATAATGACCATCCATTCATTCAAGTCTATTCCTTCAAATCAAAATCATTTTTAGATTTTCAAGTGTGCCTTCCCCTTACACAAGGGTGACCCCAGAATAATTAATTTCTGAGCTTATGCCTCTTATCAACTTTTTATACTGTTTTAGAATAGAACTTGGTAAACATGTTAACAGGAGTCCTTAACTTTCTGATAAGGTTTGAACTCTAAATGAATTTGGGCAGCCAGCATAAGCACCAGGGCTATTTCAAGACCAATCCTCCAAAAGCACTGGAGTACTTGAAGTATAAGTCATGTGCACATTAAAAATTTTAACTGTAACCAAGTAAACTTTTTCTTAACTGGTGTTTCTTTGAAACTATCTTCTTCAGTTTAAAATCTCAGCACAAGAAATCTCAGTTCTAGTGTCACATTTACAGTCTATCTGAAAATATTTGCTCTCAAGGTAAACAATCAAGATGTGAGAATTTAAGAATTTTAACAAAACTCCCCAAAATCAAAGTATTAAATATATCCATTCTTAAACACTTTGTATATGTAAAGCACAAGGGGTCATACAGGAAATCTAAGTATTCAAAGATTTTTAAATGCCTAAAAATAACTTTTACACAAAACTTTGCTATGACTCATCAATACTTAAGCAGTGCCTACAATTAAAATTAAGTGTTAAGAACAAAACGCACCAAGAAATATCTTTTAATTCCTTCTCTTCAGTAACTGTCCACATAGTTTGGGGGGGTGGGAGGAATGACAAGTTTCATTAAGAGTTCCATCTTTCCATTTCCACAAACGACAAAGTTAATTCCATGCTCAACACTGTCAGGGTCACAATCTCTAGGTTAGAACCCTGAGTCATTACACACAGATCGCTCCAAATCTGCCAGTGTTTATAATAATCAGTTATAACCTAGTGATTATGAACCCAGGCTAGCTAGACTGCGGCTCCTGGAGTCCCAGCTGTATGACCTTGGATGAGTCACGGCTCAGTTTCCTCATCTGTGAAATGGGTTAACAGTTCCTACCGGTAGGAAATGCGAGTTCATACGTGTGAAGCCCTGAGAAGATTGCCTGGCACTCTTTGTCCTCATCTTTATAAAAAATCCGTGTGAAAAAATGCTATAGAGGGTATACCCTGACAACTTGGGCAGAATTCAAAAACCAAACGGTGCTGGCATTCAAGGGCTGCACCTAGATTACAAGGTTCGTATAATCTAGGGTTGGACGAAAAGCACAGACCAGTAGTCGGAATCACTCACTGATTTTGCCATTTTTAACTATTTCAGGCTAGGGAGGGGCCTTTCGCTAGGCGCTAAGATATTCAGCAGCTTTGGTGGATCTAAGCGAGAGCGGGTTTGCGCCTGTAAATAGACTTGTGAAGTTTTGTTGCAATAGCCAGGTATCAATTATAATTTACGCATTCTCAACCACCAACTCCTCCGGCTGCTAAACAGGTCATTACTCCACCTCCAGTGGCCGGGATCACTTGCACTCACTGCACAACTTCGGAGCACGCCGAGTGCCCTCGCTCCAGCACACACCCCAAAGGGCCGCCGAGGGACCCGGCTCCCAACCTTCCCCGGCGCCTCGCCCAGCAGCCAGCCCCGTTTTCTTAACCCGTGCATTGTCCTTGCGGAGAACCCCGGCGGTTCCCACACTGGTGGGGACCGAGAGGAGGGACGAGGGAGGAGCTGGGGGAAGAGGATGAGGAGGAAGAGGAGGAGGAGGAGGAGGAAGACAACCTCCTCCCCTCCGCTCGGGCGACCAGTGAAGGTCTGGCGCTTTCTCCGGCCCCCATGCCCCCGGCTCCCGGGAGGCCGCGGCCCCAGCTCCCACCCTCCGCAACTTTCCCTCCGCTCGCACCCGCCTCTCCTCCGGGACCGGGCCTGTCGGGCTCCCTCCCTCGGCGGCCGGCCCCGGGCCGCGGCGCCTCCTCCTAAAATGGCAGGTCCCTCCCTCCGCCCGGCCGGCCTCGGCGCGGGCCCGGCTGCAGGCCGCGGGGGGAGCCGGGCGCCGGGCCGGGCGGGGCCGCGGCCGGGCCGGACACTCACCGGGACGATGGCGGGGCGCTCGCGCCGCTCCCTCCGGTGAGTCTCAGCCTCGGGCTCCCGCCGCTGCGCTCCCGCCGCGGCCTCCGCAGCCAGCGCCGCCCCGGCCGCCTCTCTCCGCCCCCGGCGCTCCCGGCTCCGCGGCCGAGCCGCAGCCTTCTCAGTCTCTCTCCGGCTCCGCGGTTCCAGCGGCGCCCGGGGCCGAGGAGGCGACAGCCCCCTCCCCGGCAAATACCGCAGTCCCCGGACCCCGACTCCCGGCGGCGGGGCCGCGCGGCCCGGCCCGGCGCGGAGGGCGGCGGCGGCGAGGCCGGGCGCCGAGTCGCGGCCGCTCCCGGCGGCTTCTTCCCGAGGAGGATTTTGTAAATCTCACAAAATGGCGCGCGCTCCAAACCTGCGCAGCGAGAAGCGCCGGGGCCCGAGCGGCGGCGGCGGCGGCGGCGGCGGCTCCTCCGCCAGGAGAGCCCGAACCGCCCGCCCCCGAGTCCCCGCACAGACAGACACACACACACTCACACACACACGCACGCACACTCGCCCTCGCACACGCTCACTCACACACACACTCTCACACTCACACCGGTCCCGCCCGCTCGCCGGCGGCGGCAGCGGCACCAACAGCAGCAGCAGGAACAGCAGCAGCAGAAGCGGCGGCGGCGGCGGCGGCGCCCGCACCCCCCGCTCGAGGTGTCCGCTCCCTGAGCCCGACCTGGGCCGCGATCAGCAGCAGCGACGGCAGCAGTCTCCCCGGATCCCCCCGCCGCTCTTGCCGCCGCCACCCCCGCCTCACTCCAATGGGGCTTTTTATTATTATTCGGGCGGGAAGCGAAAGGGTTTAAAAAAAAACCAACCAACAAAATGGCGACGGACCGACCCGGTCGCTATAGCAACTGTCAATCAAAACGCAAAACCCCGGCTGACGTGCTGACGTCCTCCTCCCGCCCCCCGGCCCCAAGCCGGCGGGCGGGGCCTGTTGCTCGGGCAACGGCAGATTCCGTTCCCTCCTTTCCCTCTCCCCCTACGTCCCCAACCAACCACCCAACCCCCTCAGGTCACGTGAAGGATAAATTCGGAGCTCGAGCCCGCTACGAGTGTCAGAGGAGGGCGCGTGATTCGCTCGGGGGAGGGGAGAGGAGGGGGACGGCCAGGCCGAGAGAGGAAGGGGAAGGATAGGGAAGGAGGGGTGAGGCGGCGGCCCGGCGTGTGCGCGAGCGCTCGCCGCCTCCCTGGCCTCCCGGCCGCGCCGCGCCCCGCGCCGCGCCCCGCCCCGCGCCCGCGCCGACTGCGGCCCGGGGAG